CCAATGTCATAAAACAACATGTGTACTTCTGTTTCATGAGAAACTATTTGTTCTGTAAGCCTTCACCTGAAGTACAATTAAAAAAAAAAAATACTCCTCACCCTACATGAAGGCTCCAGTTTGAGTGAAGAGGGGCTTAAGGACCAGTGGGAACTAAGCCTCATTCATGCTTACGTGGCTGCCACCATACCATAACACCCAAGATGCAGTTCCCACTGCACAGTGATATGTGTGGGTGCACCTGACCCCCCGGAACAAAGCTCCCTCCATGTACCAACAGCTAACTCACACAGCAAAAGGAACATTCCTCATGATCGCAAGGGTAAAGGAGATGGTGTTTAAGTGTACATTATAGGTCCTGGCAGGTGCTGACTGAGCACAAACAGCAGCCTCTAGGGAGAACTCTTCATACTGAACAACCAGAATGCTTGTGGTCAGGTGCTGGGAGCCAGAGGGCCAGGGGACAAGGGAGATGTTGCCTGCACTGTGGGGATGCTGTGGCTCCTTCATCCCACAACTCAGCACTTGGTAGCTGGAGTGTCCCAGGTGCTGTGGTTAGTGCCCTTTCCAATGGCAGGGAAACTTTGCATAAACAGTGTTTTCACAGCCCGGTTAGTCCCTTAGTGGAGGAATAGTCTATTCATGGGCTATTAAACTACTGAATTAGATTCGTATCTCTCCCTGGAGAGAGATTCTTGCTAGAGTATTAAGTGAGAAAAGCAAGTGACAGAATAATGTATGACGTACGATCACATTTTTTTGTAAAGATGACACTCTTCTGGAGGTGGTGGATTGTGTGCATGTGCGTCTGTGTGCATGGAAGGAGCAAAGAGATGCCCCAGGAGACGTGAGATGGTGGGAGTATGTGAGAGGGCCTACCTTTCCCTTTATTCACCTTTCACTAGTTCCAGTGGACACATGTTACTTTTATCAGTAAAAAATTTTATAAAGTAAAGAGAAAAGGTATTATTGTGATTTTCAGCTTCTGACTCATATAACCAACAAGCTACTGACCATCTTCAAAACACCCAAGATCTCTCAGACAGGACTGAGATTGCCCCTCACCCTGGCTCTCCCCACCAATTCCTACTTCATTGAGCGGTGGTCCCACCCACCTCATTGTCTCTCCATTCACTGCCTTCTCCTACAGCCTACACCTTGACCTCTGTATCTGACTCATCACTAGGACCTGCCAGTTTCACCTCCTCCATAACTCCTGCCCTGATGTACATCTCTGCCACCTTCCCTAGTCTGTGCTACCATCACTCACTTTGGACAGCCACAAGGCCTACCAGCTGGCTACCCCGCCACTGTGCGCTGCACTCTGCTCTCAGGCATGGAGGCCAGACAGTGTCATCTCTGTGCAGGGTGGGGCTTGCACGCTGAGCTGCCCGCCGTTCCTCGCCAAGGTCTGGCCTGCTCCAGCTCATCTCCCCGCGGTGTCTCACCTGTCCTCTCCTTTCAGTGGGTCTTTATAATTCTGGTCTCTTCCCACAATTCATTTCTCCTGCCCCCACTGTCTTTAGCGAGTCTTCCAGGACCACCCTGACAAGGTGAGATCCCTGATTATCGGCTCATAGAGCACTTGGCATGCTGTGGTTTTATGCTTGTTTGTATACTTATTTGATTAATATCTTTCTGTATAGACTGTGGGAGTCCCTGGCTGATAACACGCTCAGCTGCTAACTAAAATGTTGGAGGTTTGAGCCCACCTAGAGACACCTTAGAGGAAAAGCCTGGAGATCTACTTCTGAAAAACCAGCTATTGAAAACCCAGTGGATTAGACATAATCAAATACCTTTTGGGATTGGTTTTCTGAGTTTGAAGGCTTAGGACCATAGTTTCATGGAGCAACTCAGTCAACTGGCATAATATAGTTCATAAAGTTTATGTTCTATATCTTAGTTTGATGAGTAGTGTCTGGGGTCTTAAAAGCTCGTGAGCAGCCACCTAAGATACAGCTATCAGTCTCTACTCATCTGGAACACAAGAGAAAGAAAGAAACCAAAGATTCAAGGAAGGAACTGGACTATAGAACTAAATGTATACACAAACCACAGCCTCATCTACCCTGAGACCAAAAGAACTAGATGGTGCCCAGCTACCACTACTGACTGTTCTGAGCACAGCTACAATAGATGGATCCTGATATAATGGGAGAAAAATGTGGAACAGAACATTCAATTCCTAAAAAAAAAAAAAAAAAAAGACCAGTTGAGACTGATAGACTCCCCGAGACTATTGCCCTGAGATACTCTTCAAACCTTGAACTGAAACTAGCCCCTGAGGTCACATTTTAGCTAAATAACAGATTGGCCCACAAAATAAAGACTATCACCCATGAGTACTGTGCTCCTTTAAAAAATCATCTACATGAGACCAAATGGTCAACAATTACTTTAAAACAAAGATGAGAAAGTAAGGGGCAGGGAAACTAGATTAATGTAAATAGAACAACCAGAATGGAAATAATGAGAATGTTCATGCATTGTAAAGAATGTCACCAATGTCACTGAACAACCTGAGTAGAAATTGTTGAATGGAAACCTAAACTGCTGTGTAAACCTTCACTGAAAACACAATAAAATGTTAGTGAAAGAAAACCTTATGGAGCACAGTTCTACTCTGATACACATGGAGGCGCCATGAGTTGGAGTCAACTCCACGACAACTGGTGGGTGCGACAGACTGTAAGCTTCAAGAGACAAGAACTACTTCTGATTTGTTCCTTACTGTATTTAATGTCTGAGACATATTAGGCACTCAAAAAATATTTGATGAATAAATGAGTAAATGAATCTAAAATGCATCTAAACTGAATAAGGTATTTAAGGACATATAAATGCCATCTCCAGCAAGATGACTACCCACCTTGAACACTGCAAATGGAGTTTGCTTGAGTTCTGGAACCTAGCTCATCCAGCCTCACTGGGCCTCTCAGGTCAGAGGTACAAGCACCAGAGACCACACACAAAAGGGGCTTTTGAAGCAAGAGGACACTTCGTTCCACACAAACAATACGACTTGCCAACAGAGACACTTAAGATTACTATAGAGGTGAAGAAAAGCAACTTCTGCAGAACAATCATTGCCTTTGCCAGCTTCCTACGAGCCGTGTAGAAGTGTGCAGGTGTGAGGCAGGACTGCTCCCTCCAAAGCCAGATTCTGTTAGACAACACAGCCCAGGGTTGGTTGTATGGTATGTGAAGTATATCTCAATTAAAAAAAAAAAAATTCAGAAAGAATTTTACTTTGATTCCTTGAAAAATGGAGTGGCTGATTCAAGCTTAGGCACTTATAATGTTGTAGCTTCATGTTTGTTTTAAAGATTGATCTTTTATGCAATAACTTCAAGGGCTTCTGCACCTGTCAAGTGTGGCCCCCACTCAGATAGTTCTTCAGTGAAAGGGGCATCTCTCACAGTGTGTGTCAACTCCACGGGGGGTGCTTGTTCTGCTAAGGTGACTTGTTCCAACCCACAGCTGTGACGGGGGCCAATGGAAACCAAGGCTGGTGCTGCAGCCCTCGTCAGCCCAACAGGCTATGTCAGCTATGGGCTTTGTGGAGGTGCCAGCAATTCCAGACAAAGGCAGAGGCATCCAGGATCAACAAGTCATTTTATGGGCATCTATCATTGCCACTGGACCAGAACTGTCAAGAGAAATAAAGCATACCCTGGTCTTGCAGAGCATCCCTGAAGAGGATGCTGTGAGGGGCAGCCACATTGAGCGCTGCCAGGACTTCTGGGCCCAGCACACATGAGGAGGTCACAAAGATGGGCACTGTTTTGGGGAGGCTAGAGCAACTCTCATTATTTGCCTGTTGGGTGATGTCAGTCACCATCAGCCAAAATCTCCCTTTGCTCCACAGGAAGGAAACTTTTGAGCTACAATTTTAAGACATAGTAAACACTATTAACTTAATAGCTCTCCTTATAACAAAAAATTTAATGCAAAAATCTTATATCATTAACATCAACACTACAATTTTAGAAGCATTTAATCAAATACAGTACTTTTAAAACGTGGAATAGGCTTGCATGTCCAGTCATCCAGGGCACCATGGCTCAATCCTGCAACTCTTGTAGGACATACAATCCTACCCTGCTCTGGCACTACTGTGTATGTCTAGTTCAAATGTAATCTCTTTTTTTTGAAGAATTCTAGCCTATCCAGGGGGAATTAATTGCTTTCTTCCCCCTTATCACATGCCTAGAATGGTCATTACCGCATTGCTTTATAATAGCGCACAGGTATTCTCTCCAGCTGGGTGTGATTTTTCTGAGTGTTAGGAATATATCGTACTCACTTTCAGATTTTATACATGCCATGGTATAAAGCAGATGTCATACATTTATTGTATCTGTAACATTTTATTTTTTTTCTTTCATTTTATTACAATTTCCTTTATTTTTTTTTCATTTGCAAAAGGTGTAATTATAATGTCTTTTCATTTAAATGGTGTTCTACTCTTCCCTTCGTCGGGGCTTAGGATTCAGTAGAAGAAAATGGGCCAAGAATTTGCCTGGCAAGACAGGCAGTGTCAGTAGGGCTAGGGCCTGAGGGTTTGGCTGGCTTGCTGAGTGGCCGAGGCTGAGGTTTCAGTTGGTGTTGCTGACATGGATACATGGTCAGGCTGAAGATTCCATGGGGCTGGCTGGCAGGGCTGAGCAAAGAAGGTGACCTATACGGTCAGAAGCTGTGGGGTTGGGGCAAAGGAAGCACTCACAGGATCAGAAACGGGCTGAGGGGGCAGCTTGCATGGTTTGAGGCTGAGTACATACAGGAAGTTTGAGCAAGTGAGAAGAAATATTGAGGAAAATGGGAAGTAGGTTTCGCACTGTCAGAGAAGGGAGTTACAAATATGAAAATGGAAAAACCTACAGTATATTCTGTGGTAATGGCCTAGAATTGGAGGTATTAGTGTGAAATAAAAATTTTAGATAGTTAGGTAGATAGACAGAAATAGATACAAATGTATGTGTGAGCTCATGAGTCTACAAACGTATATTTCCCACTCCTAGATATATACCCAAGAGACTTGGAAGCAGTAACACAAATAGACACATGTACACCAATGTTAATTGCAGCAGTATTCACAGTAGCCAAAAGGTGAAAACAACCTAAATGTCCATCAACAGATGAATGGATAAACAAAATGTGGTGTATTCATACAATGGAATATTATTCAACCATAATGAGGAATGAAGTCCTGATACATGCTACTACATGGATAAACCTTGAAAATATGCTGAGTGAAATAAGTCAATCACAAAAGGACACATATTGTATGATCCCACTTACATGAAATATCTAGCACGGGCAAATGTATAGAGACCAAAGTTTATTAACGGTTACCAGTGGCAGGTGGGAAGGGAGAAGGGGGAATCATTCCTTAGAGGGTACTGAGTTTCTTTTAAGGGTAATGGAAAAATCTGCAAATGGATAGTGGTGATAATTGTACAACATGATGAAAGTAAGCAATGTCACTGAACTGTACATGTAAAAAATATTGAAATGGCAAATGTTTTGTTATATATATTTTTACCACAAAAAGCAATTTTTATTGCAGAACAAAATAATAATAATAAACTTCAGCATGCATAAATAAGTCTTTTGGAACACAGCTCCACCCTTTTGTTGATGAGTGACATGGCAGCTTTCTCACTGTGACACAGAGTTGAGTAGCTGTGACAGAAACCATGCAGGTCACAAAGCCTAGAATGTTCACTCTCTGGCCCTTTATAGACCCTTGCTCTAGATGAAGGATGGGTTGATACAGTAAATGTGTAATTAGCTAGGTTTAGTGATGTTTATATATATGCAACTCAGCAGCCACTTCATTAGAGATTAAGAAGCATATCCCTTCAGTCATTTTATAACTGTTTCACTGCCCATGGATGATCAGAGAAATGCAAAGAAATTGTTCACAACATATGAACAACAGAAATCAACTCTGGACAACTTAAGCAGAAGAGAAAACGGCTCAGGCTTTCAGCTGAATTGTGACTCTATACAAAGTGTGCACACTCTTTGGAGAGTTATATTAAGTGTGATGGGATGAAATTATGTGAAATCTGGGATTTGCTTTAAAATTCTTCAGCAACAAAGAGAAAAATGGTGGTGGAAAGGTGCGGTTACCATAAAATCTTGATAAACTGGTATAGTCTGGTTAAAAGATAGACCTGGGTGACTCCCCTGTCCCTCTGCATTCCAAAGATGGGCTGGGGCATCTGACTGTCATGTCCAGCCCATCTGTCCAGGCTCCAGCTTCCTGCCTCCTTCCAAGACCCCCACTAGGCATTCCCTTCAAAGAGCCCTGGTGTGTGATGCTGGCTGTCAGCAGGACCGTGCTGGCTACCCCAACAACCTGTATTAGGCACAAACACTCAGGAGGCTTCTGTGAGGTACTAATTCTTTCCTGCATCACCATAGATATGGCCCATTAGTAGAAGAGATTACAAAATAAAAGAATTTTAAAACCAGGTTGTAATACATCTCTCAGGGTGCTCCTCAAGAAGTTAAGGGCCAGCAGAGATTTCTGGCAGAATGTAGGCCATGTGTTTAGCTTGCCAAGAACATCTTTTTTTCCTCACCTACTCCTAGCTGATCTACTGAGTAGCAAGAAGGCAAATGAGAAGCTCTTCTTGGCTGCAGAACCCTAGAACTGTGCAGGGCCTACCTGGGGACCGCGGGGCCCCCTTCGCAGTGCAGGGCCCTCAGAGTTCTGAGAAGCAGCTGAGCTCATCCTGAGATTTCCACATCCTCGCCACAAACAACATGTCAGCTTCTCCTTCCTCTCTCTGACCTGTCTGTGTATCAGAAGAGAACTCAGTTTACAATAATCTTGGAGTTCTTGAAAAACTGTGCTGTTTTTCACCCCCATTGCCTAGTACAGAGCTGGCAGTCAATGGGCACTCCGTTCCTGTATAAGCAAAGGGTTAGTACCAATTTAGCAGTGAGCATGTTTAAATGGGCTGGAAAATGCTTTTCTGTTTTGGCACTCCATTAATTTCTAACAAATTATCCTTTAATAAAACTATGACACTTTATACATTATAACATCTTATGAGAGAGAGATTGATTGATTACCTGTGGTTTTTGGTAGATCACTCTGGCATAGAAGGTGCAGCACATACCAAGACCACCAGCCTGGAGGACGAGAAAGATGGGTCACGTTACATAGCACGTACAGACAGTGAAGGTGCTTAAAGAACTTGTTGAACACAAAGACATTACCTGGAGAATGTCCTTTAAGCAGTGGGAGACTGGAGGCTGGCAGAGCTTAGAAATTGGGTGTTCCTCAATTATATCAATTTGCCCCAGATTTGGATGAGCTGTGAAAATGTAACAGAAGCTAGGAGGAGGCAGATCAGCTTGTACCTGTTTAAAATGAAGGAAAAGGTAGTTGGTGAATACATTTTTTAAAGACTCAAATACACTATTAAAATCTACTCTTTAAAATGTGCATATGTGCTTACAGATGCATAATATCTCTGTAGAAGTCTATATCAGAAACAGATGATACTGTTTACCTCTGATAGAGGAGCCTGGTGGCTGGGACCAGGTGCAAGAAATTTTATACTTCCGAGTTTATTACCAACTCAAACTTTGATTTTAGAAATCCACTCTTCAGAGTATACTAAGGAAACCATTTAGAAACAACTTCCTCTTAAATAATCCAGAGGTGGTCACTTTTGACAGCTAAAATGCTGGGCTGGCAGTGACACAGTTACAGCTTTGTGCTTGCTGAGAAGTTAGCTGGTGCGTGAACAAGGCAGCCCCCAGGGTCAGCTTTGGGAGGAAGCTCCCGCCCAGAGCAGCTGCTGACCTACCTGCTGGGTAAGGCTCGGGGACACAGATGGGAGGACACATTTTAATCAGCCATTTTTGCTGCTTGCAGGCAACTACCGCGAACAATCTGATGAAGCAGGGAAATGGGAATTCCTGGCTAACCTGTGACTGTAAGACAATCTATCCATTTTATTTAGTTTATGAGACTTTCTACTGTAATTGGTCACTGAGTGTCAGGTTTTGTGAGTAATTGGACGGTGGCAGGAAAAGTGATCTGTGTCTTGCTTTAGCAGGATCCTAAGACCCTCTTTGTTGTGACAGTGTGTGGTGACTGTGGGTGTAACGCGTCATCATAAGTTAACCTCAAGAAAAATCTGGTGTAGCACAGCAGGTGGAGAGGAAGAGCGTGGGCTTTGGAATGAAACAAGGCTGGGTTGAAGCCCAGCTCTGGCTCGCAGTCATGTGTTTCCACAGACAAAGGAATGAGCTAGACTTCGAGCTTCTTGAGGCTACCATGGGGACACACATTGACTGTGTAAGTGGTAGTGAGGACAGGAGAGGAGGGCAGGCCCCAGGTGCTGGCTTACCTCTTCATGAGGCTGACTTTGGCCAGTGGTTATCAGAGGCATCACTGGAGGCCATATGGTGTCGATCAAACTAAAAAGCCCCACTGTCCTGAAACAGAAAATGTTATAACAAAGGTATTCATCATCAAACATCCTGTATTAAGTACCCTGTCATCGATAAGCTGAATCAGCCTATGCTGAGGAGGTCTCTAGACATCCGCCCTCAGGCTGAGAAGCTGGAGTCAACACTAGAGTCAACAGCAATTCTGGTTGGGAAGACAGAGGGCGCAGGCCCAGCCCACAGACAGATAGCAGAAGATGTGTGGGCTGCTCACAAAATCATGAAGTATCTACATGATGTAACATTATACAGCTGTCGAAATGGATCTCTAGAAGATATTTAACGGCACAGAAAGATGTTTATGATGCCTTGCTGAGTGAAAAACAAGGCAACGAAATATAATATCTGTCTATGTATATATCTACATACATGCACATATATAAAAAGCCAAAGGAAAAGGAGAACAAAGTAGGAGGACTCACACTTCTGGATTTTAAAACATATTATACAGCTACAGTAATCAAAACAGGCTGGTACTGGTATAACAATAGACACAGACCAATGGAATAGAACTGAGAGTCCAGAAATAAACCCACACATCTATGGTCAACTGATTTTTGACAAGGGTGCTAAGTCTATTTGATGACGAAAGAAGACTCTCTTCAATAAATGATGTTGAGAAAATTGGATTTCCACATGCAGAAAAATAAAATAGGATCCATGCCTTACATCATACAAGTTCAAAATGGATTAAGGATCTAAATGTGAAAACTAAAATCACAAAATTCCCAGAAGAAAATACAGGGGCAATGCTGTTGGGCCTAGCTTTAACAATGGATTATTTAATATAATAACAAAAGCACAAACAGCAAAAGACAAAATGGGACCTCATAAAAATTAGAAACTTCTGTTCATCAAAAGTCTTTACCAAAAAAGTAAAAAGATAAGCTACCAATTGGGAGACTATCTTTAAAAACCATGTATCTGATGAGAATCTAAATAACAAAATATATACAAAACTTTGACAACTTAACAACAAAAAGACAAATAACCCAATCATAAAAGGGGCAAAGGACTTGAACAGACATTTCACCAAAGAGGACATTCAAATGGACACCAAACAAATGAAAAGCTGCTCAATGTCATTAGCTATCGGAGAAATGCAAATCAAAAGCTACAATGAGATACCATTTCGCTCCCAGTAGGATGGCTCAGATTAAAAAACAAAAAACAGAAAATAACAAATGTTGGCAAAACTGTGAGGACATTGGAACCCTTATCCATTGCTGGTGGGAATGCAAAAAAGTACAGTCTTTGTGGAAAACATTGTGGAGGTACCTCAAAAAAACTGCAAGTAGAACCACCATAATAGAACCAACATATGACTCAGCAACTCCACTCCTAGGTATATACGCAAAAGACCAGAAAGCAGAGACTCAGACAGATACTCCTTCATTGCAGCACTATTCACAATAGCCAAAATGTAGAAACAACCTAAATGCCCATCAACAGACAAATGGATAAACAAAATGTGGTACATACATACAAATGGAGTACTAACTACTCAGCCAGTAAGAGAAATGGAGTCTGGATACATGCTACAATATGGAGCTTGAAGACATTATGCTGAGTGAAATAAGTCAATAACGAAAGCACAAATATTGTATGACCTCACTTATATAAAAAGACATGAACAGACAAAATGTATACAGACCAAAGTTTATTAGTGGTTACTAGGGGCAGGAGGGAAGGGGGGAAAAGGGGAGTTATTATTCCTTATAGAGTACTGAGTTTCGGTTTGTCTGTGATGGAAAAATCACGTTGATTAAAGGTAGGGTCACAGTTGTGTGATAGATATACTTACAATAATGACAACAAAAAAAAAAAGAGTAGCTCCTGAGGCTGCTTATGTACAACCAAACTCCTCACGGGATTTGGTTCCTTGGTTTGGAGGTTTGGGGTCATGGTTTCATGGAATATCCTAGTTAATTGGCCTAATAACATGTTTAGTGCTTTTATTCTACCTCCTAGATTATTGCATAGCGCCTAGGGTCTTAACAGCTTGCAATCAACCATTCAAGGTACAACAATTTTACTCTATTTGCCTGGAGCAACAGAGGAAGAAGGAGAGTTAGGAAGAAGAGGAGGAAATGGAATGCATGGTTAATTGCCTCCATGAAAAAATGCTTCCTTTGCCATGAGACCAGAAGAACTGGATGGTGCCCAGCTACCATTACTGAATGTTTTGAATAGAGATTCTACAGAAGAATCTGATCAAGTGGGAGAAAATGCATGATCAAGTGGGAGAAAATGCAGAAGAGAATATCAAATACGCATAGAATCCAGTCTTTCTGGAGTCATGGAGACTGGATGAACCCCTGAAACTATTGCCCTGAGATAATCTTTAAATCTTAAACCAAAAATATCCCTTGAAGTCTTCTTGACACCAAACAAGAGTTTAACTTAACTAGTAAAGAATGTGTGCCTTAAGCATTGTGCTCTTTAAAGAACTGTCTATGTGGGATCAACAGCTACTTGAAAGATACGATGGGAAACTTAGTGGGCAGAGAGTTTATGATAATAGAGAAGGAACGACTCAGAAAAGGAGGGTGAGAATGGTTGCACAACTTGAAGAATGTAATCAATGTCACTGAATTGTACATGTAGAAACTTGAATTGGTGTATGTTCTGCTGTGTATATTCTCAATGACACAAAAATAAAATAAATTATAAGAAATGAAAATAAAGAATATTTATAATAAAAGCTTCTTAGATTTTGCATTAACTTTCCATATGTTAGTATATAATATGCCATTTACTTTTGAAAACAAGTTTGTGGCCTTAGTATTTAATATTACATAGTTTTATCTCTTTTAATACTTATATTACAAACTCATTTAATAGGCATAATACAGTTCATAAAGTGTGTTCTACATCCCAATGTGGAGACAAGTGTCTGGGGTCTTAAAAGCTTCTAAGCAATCATCTAAGATATAACTATTGGCCTCTACTTGTCTGTAACAAAAGAGAAAGAAGGAAACCAAAGAATCAGAGAAGAAAATAGTGTACAGGACTAACAGTCTACACTAACCAAGGCCTTGTCTATCTGAGACCAGAAGAACTAGAAGCTGCCCGGCTGCCACTACTGACCATTCTGATCAGGGCCACAATAGATGGATCCTTACAGAATGGGAAAAAAATGTGGAACAGAACTCAAATTCTTCAAAAGTTCAGACTTACTTGACTGGTTGAGACTGGAGGACTCCCCGAGACTATTTAAACCTTAAGCCAAGATTATCCCTTGAAGTCACCTTTTAGCTAAATAACAGACTGGCTCATAAAATAAGAATAACACACATGAGTAATGAGCTCCTTTAAAAAATTATCTATAGTAAACCAAATGGTCAAAAATTATTCTAAAGCAAAGATCAGAAAGTATGGGGGCAGGGAAACTAGAGTACTGGAAATGGTACAACCAGAATGGAATGGATGAGAGTGATGACACATTGTGAAAAATATAACCAACATCACTGAATAATTTGTGTAGAAACTGTTAAGTGGGAAACTAATTTGCTGTGTAAACTTTCACCTTAAACACAATAAAACACTATTTAAATAAATATTTATATGAGAGGCCCTCTTCCAGGTGCTTAGGATATAGTAGTTAACAAAACTGAAAAACTCACAACCTGTAAAGTAGTGTCTTAGCATCGTAATAAACAGAAGCAGAGCACTTTCCCTACCACCTGGTGATTACTCACACAACAGATACTGTGCAGGGCACGGTCCTGGGCAAACATCAACAAGGGTAATGTCATGCTGGTGAATTTTCAGGAATTTGAGGACTCCTGGTGGCACATTGGTTAAGAGCTTGGCTGTTAACTGAAAGGTGGGTGGTTCAAATCTACTGCTCCGTTTCCATAAAAATTACAGCCTTGGAAACCCTACGAGGCAGTTCTACTCGGTCCTATCTGTGTCGCTGTGAGTTGGAATTGACTCGGCAGCAATGCATTTTTCGGTCTGGGGTAAAAACAAAGCACAAAAATGATAAGCAAAGGCGAAAATCATATGCTAAAAAAGGACTGCCTCATGGCAATTCACTCTTGCTGTCTCCTTTTTTCATTTTTTATTTTTGAGAACTGCCTTGCAGAAGCTGTTTGTATGAACAAAGGGAAAGGGCTGGGTGAGCAAGGACCAGCAGAGTCAGGAAGAGCCAACTGGGAAGGCTCTGGGGCAGCTGGCCTGACCCCTAGCCATTGCCTCCCAATGCCAAGGTGCCGGGCCTCTCTGTAGTTTTCCCCTTTGTCTGTCTGCTTGTCCCTACCCCACCAGTCTCTCCTCCATCTTCCCAGAAAGGCTCTCAGGTCGCATAACCTGTCCACAATGGCACTAAGCCGACTACTTGACCGTGGGCCAGCCACTGACTGTCTCTCTCTCTCAGTGCTAGGGCACAAGCTCCCAAGCACAGCGCTGTCCTCCCTCTGGCCCTGCTGCACCTCCTCTACACGGAGCAGGCCTGCCCACAGTAGGTGGTCAAGAGAACTGGTGAATGAGTGACTGATGCTCACACACTGTTGTAGACAACTAGACATTAACTGAGCCCTGGTGACATGATGGAAACCCTGGTGGCATACTGGTTAAGCGTTCCGCTGCTAGCCAAAAGTCAGCAGTTTGAATCTACCAGGAGCTCCTTGGGAACCCTATAGGGGAGTTCTACCCTGTCCTATAGGGTCAGTATGAGTTGGAATCGACTCAATAGCAATGATTTTTTTGTTTTTTTTTTTGCTTTTGGTGACGCGACAGTTAAGTGCTGGGCTGCTAATCAAAAGGTTGGCAGTTTGAACCCATTCATCTGCTCCATAGAAGAAAGACCTGGAGATCTGCTTCGGTAAAGATTACAGCCTAGGAAATCCTACAGGGCAATTCTACTCTGTCACATGGAGTCGCTATGAGTCAGAATCAAATTGTCAGCATCTAACAACATTTACTTGTAGAAATCCAAACCAGCATGCTGGATGTGCTCGTTTCCTACCTGTAGTCCTAAGAAA